CCGATATTTGGGGCCGCTTCGCGGGTACCGGCGCAGAAAATCCGCGCATGCGCGGAAATTTGTGCCAGCGCCTATCGGCCCGATGGGCCGGCCGAGGTTTGGGTAACCGGCGGTGATACAAACCCTACCCTGTCCCCAAAAATCAGGCCGGCTACGTGGATTTAAGCGGGCCGTGCGTGCTGATGGGTCGCCGAAGGCGGCGCAGAAGCAGGTACGGAATGGCTTTTGGGACTCTCACCAGTGAACTGGTATTCGCCCTGGACGAAGCGATAGAAGCGATCCCAGTACGGAAGAGAGTCGAGCGGTTCATCCAGGAGGGATTCAGGGACATCGACGCCGCGGAAGAGCCCAAAGCTATTCAGCAGACGCTTTCCCTTGAGCACCTGGGCCGCGTGCCAGTTGTCAGCTAGGGACAAATCGGAAAATTTCACGGCGTACTTGAAGACCTCCATGAAACCCTCGCTAGAATCGCCTGCAATGGGCCTGCAATCGACGATCATGCTGTCACCAGTGATAGCGTGCCACTCAGTACTGATCGCGCTCTGAGAGGGCTTGGAGGCCGCTAAAACGATCATGTGGCAATGCGGGTGCCAGCCCTTCCCCCTATTGGTCAACTCAAGCGTGTAAACACCGCCTTCGGCCTTGCACAGCTCCGTGTAGGGAGCACCGCGAGTGCCTGCGTTGAAGTATCGGCGGCGATCCATCATGAGCTTGAGCGAACGGGTCAGATGACGCTGACGTTCTTCAAGGTCTGGGCCGTTCTTCACGGTAAGCGTGAGGAGGTAGGGTTGCAGGTCTGGGCGCTCTTTCTGGATCACCTCCCAGCGAGCCAAATAGGCCCCGAGCGCCTTAGCTCCACGCCGAATAGCGCAGAGAGGGCAGATCAGGTGTTGCTTGCAAAACGTAGCGTTGTGCAGCCGAACCTTGCCCACGGTGAAATACTCCCGAAAGTGCAGGTAATTCCCGCAGCTGGCGAGGCCTGCGGACGCTTTCGTGGATTCGACGGATGACACGTCCCGGAGGTGCCCAAGCATGTCCAGTGACCTTGCGTGAGCGCTGCCGTAGCGTGCTAATCTATCGCCGAAGTTTTCAGCTTCATCGACCCCTGTATGCGCCTCTTCCGCCAAGTTGACAGCGCATACGGGGGTTTTCTTTTTGGCCATGCCTGGCTCCTTTCCCGTGCTGGCAGCATACCTGCTGCTAACACTTTGTTTCTATGTATCAAGTAAAGAGGCCCCCGGCTCGCGTCACACGTACATGCAGCGCAGCTGCAAAGCCCGTGTGACGCGGTTCGGAGGCCTTTTTCGTTTGTCTTAAGAAACAGCGACTAGCTGCGGCTTCGCGCCTTGCGGGATGAAGTACCCCACCGACTTGCCCAGGGCATAAACCCCTACCGGGACGCGAATCATCTTGTTCATCGCAGCCTGGAACAGTCGCGCGTCCTCAACGTTGAGGGTGACCAGTTCCAGCTTGTGCCCGCCTGTAGAAAGGGGCAGCTGACCAAGGATCTGCACCTTGTCGCGAGGATCGAACGCCTCGCCCGTTTTCTTCGAAGTGCCGCCCGGCTGGACGAACACGTTGGCTACTTGGCCGCAGAGGGTGAACATGGGATCAGCCAATTTTCACCTCCCCAGTTTTCTCGTGCTGCTCGGCGATGCTCTCCATCTCTTCGTGAACCTCATGCGCTTCCATGATCACGTCCACCTGATCGAGGGCCTCGATCAAAGCGCGTTCGATGAAGAGACGCTTACTGATGCCCAGGACCGATACGGTCTGATCAATCCGATCAGCGAGCTCAGCGGAGAGCTTTGCGCAGACGTTGCGCAACGGAACCTGATCGCCGCTCATTTCAAGCAGCTTTTCGCTGAGGTCCAGGTTGCGAAGGGTGCTGTATTTGAAGTCCAGGACGCGGTAATGCATGAATTCGGTGAAGTCGGACATGAGATTTTCCTCAGATTGGAGTGTGTGCGATATCCGTTGAGGATGATCTACCAGCATTTTTGGAGCGTCAACACAATTTATTGGAGTGATTCGTCACTAAAAGTGCTCCGTTAAGCTCCCTTGACGTAAAGCGTGCTTAACGGAAATTCCTCCGGTAGAGGACAAAAGCGGTTATCAGGGCGCGAGGTAGTGTGGAGCCGCTGAGGAATCAGCGATTCGCGGACTTTCCGAAGGAGCGTCGGGAAGATTTTCGGAGCAGATCGAGCAGG